TATATAGAATAATTACTTTTCAATTTCACTGAAGAGATTTATCAGGATTTAAACAGATACATTTTTTTTATTATTTCAGAGGAAGGAATATGTCAAGTACGCAAAAGTATTCCCACTTTCGGGAACACTTGACTTTAAAGTACCCAGCAAGTGGTATCGGAGAATAGTCGGCTCGCTCGAGATTATCTGCGGCCTCGCCATGGCGATTATTCCAAGTCGTAGGTGCAAAAGATCAACTACCTTCTTTCATCATAATGTCCTCCCTTTGTAATCGCTAGTTCTGTCAAATTATCAGTTTCACAAATATTCAAAATTTTGTAATTGTATCATCAATCCTATTATATACAGTTCTTGATTCTCTCACGAATATTTATTATCATGTGTGTTTCTTTTTCTGATCTTTAATTGCCTTAATCTTAAAATCAAATATTAATTTTTATAAAATTTTAGAAATTTGAATTTTCTCGATAAGTTTCTATTTTTGTCGATTCCTCATCTGCTTGCACTTATGATCCCATGCAAATTCTTAACTTTAAGGAAAGCAAGAGGTTTGTAACGTTTATATAATTCAAATTGAAAACGAAATTTGTGAATTTATTTTAAAAGAAGGAAATAATAATTAGACATAATTTTTAAGTATTATTTATTATCTATTATATTCAAGATGTAGAAAATTAAATTATAATATGAAATTTATTAAAAATATAGGAATCATTCAAAATGATTCAGAAAACAGATCGAAATTTTCAATTTTCGGTTTTGTTACGATTTCGTAACTTTTCAAGAAACAGTCTATTATTTTTCTTTATCTAGTTTTCTCCTTATAACACTTTTATAGTACTTTTATAGTACTTTTACGGAACCTAAATAAACATTAGGAAAATGAAAATGACATGAATACTATCTATGAATACTGTCTATGAATACTGTCAATTTTAACATGAAAATCAGAATTTGTCGTTTATATTACTATTTTGAAATAGCAATTTTCTAATAATTTGTTTTTTAGGATCAATCTGTAAAGTATCTTGAAAATTAGATAAAAAAATAAATCAGAGCAATAAATTACTTTCTTAGGAATCATGGAATCATAATAAGCAAAATATTCGAAATTTTTCGACCTGTCCCCAATGATACATTTTTTAATAAATTTTATATTAAAATGTTAATTTTCTACATTTAAAATATAGTAATAAACAATACCTAAAATATAGTCATAAACATGAAAACTGTGTTTATTTATATTTTTTTCTTTGTAATAATAAATTTACAAATTTTACCTTTAATTTAACTTAAATTAATTCGTAAATTTTCAATTTGACCTTTAATTGATATAAATCTTTTGCTCTTTTTTAATCATTGTATCAAATAAATTGCCATATTTGATGAACAGAACTGGTTCATTGCAGTAATCATCTGTAAATTGCTTCCAGACAAAGTTAAAAACTTATCGAACACGGTGCTGCTTCTTTTGATGCTGATGGCCGTGTACTCTCATTACATGGTTAACGACAAATTCGAGAGGATTGCCCCGGCACTGGTAAGTGTTTATTTATCGACATTGTATGTTCCACGAGCTGTAAATTAAATGGTTTCAGGTATTCTTCTTTATGCTGACGGGGCGACTGGTAATCGATTGGCAACTCAGGCGAGAAAACGCACAATCGGTGACGGCGAACGGTGTCGACGACAAAGCGAAGAAGCAAGACTGAACGGGATTACAATTGGAAAATGTGTTAGCTGTTTTCACTTTAAATCACTTAATTCTGCGATTTCATTTCTGGGACACTGATTCTGAGAAAGATTAATTTAATTATATATACTCTCGTTCCCCATTTTTTGAAAAATAAAATTTTTCTCTCAAGACACCGTTATTTAATAGCTTTTTGAATCTTTTATATTCAAAGATTTGACACGCAGTAAAAAAACCTATGTAATATATAGGAAAAAAGAAAATGATAATTTAGGATTCTATGAATCAACTAGGAAAAAAAATGTACATCTCTGGAAGGGAATGCAAGAGGAATATATAATTTACTTTACAGTGATCAGTTTTAATGTGATTAGTGAGATAAATTTTTGTTGCACTCTATGTGTTACTCTGTGCACTATATCGTCATATAGTTTGCAGAATAAAAAGCGAGCGATGTTGAGACGCAATAAGATTTGTAATTAATGGAAGTAAAGTTATGTAAAGTTTTATGACGAAATATTTTTTATCACCGATGCAGAACACTCAATGAATATGTGATGTGTATATTTTCTTCGATAAATATTATTTAATTACCACTAAAAATCTATAAATACAAACATTGAGTTTTGGTGATAGCAATTACAGTCCGATGATCGGTAAATGTTGTGTCCGTTAATTGATGATAGTTCATCCCACAATATCGGTCCACACCATTTCTATCGATTGTTGCTAGTCATGATTAAAGAAATTGTTTTTCTCTCTATTCATATTATAATTAATACAATGATACAAAAAGAGAAAAAGATCACAAATAGTTAATTCTATATATATATATATCATCAATGAAATTGATTTAAAAAATAAAGAAGTTTGATCTTATAGTAGATAGTTGATAGTACTTTGTAACTCTTTTAATTTCTTTTAAAACCGTAACATATGACTATCACACAACAGCTATATATAAAACATTACACAATTGTAATATAAGCAGTTATATCATATAAATAACACACATACAAAAAACATATAGGAACTACAATATAAATAGTTAAAGATATCTTTATGAAATAACTATAATATACATAATTATAAATATAAAAACTATGATATATAATCATAGGAGGCTATAATGTAAACTAGTAAAATTGTAATATAAATAGAGAAAGAAATTTAATTAGAAATTAATCTGCTACGCGCAACATTAACCGATAATGCGACCAATCATCAGTGACATTAGCTTAAGCACGAGGTACTAACTGCCACTTGAATGAATGTGCTCTTATATATACCGTGTGAGCGAGCGTGTATGAACGCATAGAAAATGTTTCTTAATAATTGAGACATATGTGCGCATTAGTTTTAATTTATTTCTTAAAATCTCTACGTGCGAATAACGAATGTGATCAGACAATTTGATAAATAAAACCAAAATTGGAACTATTAAATAGATTTTTCTAATTATTATTTGACACCCACGATAGTTAAACAATTTCATATCAAATAATATTTCCATTTTGGGTTATTGTAATTTATGGACTGTACGTATTTACGTATATTTAAAAAAGTTTTAAATAATTGACATCCTTTTCTATATATTAGGTACAACTTTGCTTCCGCCGTTTTCCTATAGATTGCTTTAGCGGTAAGTGGTGGTCGAAATAAATAGATCATAAACGTCATACAATAAACTTGAGGATCTGTCAACATAATAACATAGAAACATAGAAACGTTAGTCGATTTGTGTCTGCATCATAAAATTATTCTCGATTGAAAATGTCAGTTTACGAGCCAAATTCTCGTCATTTGCGGGAGGTTTTAATTTTTTGCTTCAATATGAAGAAATCTGCGACTAAGGCTCATCGAATGCTCTCAAATACTTATGATGAGGCCGCTAGTGAAAGAACGTGTCGTGAATGGTTTCAACGCTTCAAGAACGGTGATTTTGACGTCGAAGTCCGGATAGCGGTGGAAGAGAGAAGGTTTTCGAAGATGCAGAATTGGAGGCATTACTTGAGCAAGACTCGTGTCAAAATCAAGAAGAATTGGCACGATCATTGAGAGTGATTTCAACAAGCCATTTCAAAACGCCTCAAAGCCATGGGAATGATTCAGAAGCAAGGAAATTGGGTGCCGTACGAATTGAAGCCGAGAGATGTTGAACGGCGTTTGTTTGCTTGTGAACAGCTGCTTGAAAGGCAAAGACGGAAGGGATTTCTGCATCGCATTGTGACTGGGGACGAAAAATGGGTTCATTACGAGCGCAGAAAATCATGGGGAGTTCCCGGCCATACTTCCACGTCAACGGCCAAACCGAATATTCACGGCTCCAAGGTCATGCTCTGTATTTGGTGGGATCAGCTCGGCGTAGTGTATTATGAATTGTTAAAACCGACTGAAACAATCACAGGCGATCGGTATCGAACGCAATTGATGCGTTTGAGCCGAGCATTGAAAGAACACGGCCGCAATACAACGAGAGACACGATAAAGTGATTTTGCAGCATGACAATGCTCGACCCCATGTTGCGAAAGTGGTCAAGACATACTTGGAAACGTTGAAATGGGAAATCCTACCCCACCCGCCGTATTCTCCAGACGTTGCTCCCTCTGACTATCACTTGTTTCGATCAATGGCACACGGCCTGGCTGACCAAAGCACTTCCGGTCTTATGAAGAAGTAAAAAATTGGATCGATTCGTGGATAGCCTCAAAAGATGACCAGTTTTTTCGACGCGGGATTCATACGCTACCCGAAAGATGGGAGAAAGTAGTGGCCAGCGAGAGACAATACTTTGAATCATAAATGTATAACCAGTTTTTTACAATAAAGCCTCGAATTTCGGAAAAAAAACGGCGGAAGCAAAATTGTACATCTAATATATGTCTCATAATTTTTATAAATTAAAACAGCCAGTTTTAATTTGAAAAAGATTTTAATTATATTTTCATTAAATACATAATTATATATTTTTTTCTTTATTTTGCATGTAATACTGAGTAAAAAAATTAAATGTGAACCAGAAATATGATATTCACTAAATTTTTCTAAAAGCTTTACATTTACACTATAAAAGATACATCAAATAATAGAGATGTGCAGATCATGTATTTATGCTATTATAAAATCAAATCAAATCTGTGATAATATCCTCAAAAACGAATCGAATTCAAATCAAATTTTCTTGGATTTACATTAAAATGAAATAAATAAAATATTTCGAACTTATTCGGTTTTGAATCTCTCAGATTCGAAAACAAATCGAATTCATTGTGATTTGAATTCGAGCTATTCGCACACCACTGTCAAATAATTGATAAAAACTCTAAGGAAATGTTGAGATTTTTTTCTTTATAGGCTATAGGCTAAGATTGATACGCACACATTTTGTATATTTATTACATTATTTAATGTTAAGTTTATTTAAAAAAATATATCATGTTACAAGATATTAAATGTACATATCGTGTGAAATAAAATATAAATACTTTTATTGCTTTCAATAAGTTTATTAATAATTATTAAATACTAAAGCGCTTGTAAAGGCAATATTATTTCTAAAAACCACACAAGCCATTTATTTGAAAGTATTTTAATTCAAGATCTTTACTTTCAAAATAACTAATTTCTACTACTTAAATGTTCAGTTTTCGTTGTTTATTAGCAATATAACAATTTCGAAAGCTTCATTAATAACATCATTAAAATTATTTGGAAAACAAGATATCAATACTAAAGTCTTTATTAAAAAATATGCTCTTAAATTAAATCGTTTCAATAAATATAATGAAAATACAGCTATACATCTCTCATTTGAACAGTAATAATAGTTACAATCTGGACAGTCTAACAATTTCTATTTTCATTAAGTGTACTATATTCGAGGTTGATTTGACTAGTGTTAATTGTAATCATGCCTCTTTAAATCATTTTCTATTATCTGTACCCAAAGGTTGTAAAAATTGTAAAATATTAATATAATATCTTTTACTGACCATTATACACGTTACAAGCGATAAGTTTAACATAATTAATTGTAAGTAAGATATTATTGTACGTGTGAGTTTTTATATACATTTCATTCATCTACGTGGATTCCTGACCTGTAGTTAAAAGATGCAGAGCTTTCCGAAGATTCATTACAGAAGTAGCTACGTCATCATAGTCCAATGCACTGCTTGCCCATTTGATAAATTTTTGAGCCTTACCGATTTGCTCAACTGACAACTTAGCACCACCTAAAATTATATTATATTACGTCCGATAAAATAATTATTTCGTATTCTTGTATTTCTAAATTACCCATTTTATCCCGTTCATAAATATCAATTTACATGAAACTTACTTTCTGTTTTATATGTATCATCTTCTGATTCAAACGATTGTGTTCTTGTAGTTGGTGGATTTGGAGGAATGGATGGAATGTCTAGCGAAGTATTATCCTTAGGACTCGTAGGACTTACATTTGATTTAGCCTCTTCATCTAATAGCCATAAAATGTTTATCAAAATTTCGAAAATTCATGAGAATAAATAGCTAATACTTACCATTGTCATTCGATGTTTTGTTTGAATCATTTTCATCATTTGTTTCATTTAGTGGTCCTGGTACTGGAGTCTCTCCATTCATTAGACAATTGTGAATATAAGCTGCTTTCCATTGAGCGTACTTCCGATTCTGTGTAGCTTCTACACTCAATTCTCCAAACAATGTCAATACATCATACAGCATCTGAGCAGTATAAAAACTCTGTACTACTTTCTGAGAAAAATTTGCAGCCCTGTCATTCTTATCAGCATATAAAAAAAGCTTCAAAGCCCAATTTTCTAAGTGTGCTTGAGCAGCTACATCATTAGTAATGGCTTCATTGTCATGCAGTTCTTTCTTTGTTGTTTCCAACCAATCCATTAGCTTCAGGAGAAAATTGGTTTCTTCTGATGTCTTGGTTGACAACTTCAATCCAGTTTGAAGAGCATACAAGCGACCTGTTTTGGATGTAAATTTTAATAAAAGATATTTTCCTTCACTTTAAAGTAAAAAGCAAGGAATGTTTAATTTTTAATGAAAGATATATTTATTTTAGAAAATATATTTATTTTCTTCTCTGTGTGAAACTAATTTACTGAAATATTTCTATAATCTCTAGAATTAAGGTTTAGATTTAGAATACATAATATATTATTAATATACATACACCAATAGCTGACGACGCTGTCTCGCTGGTCATGCTTCAACGCGATTGTTAAATAGTGTTGTATAGATTTTAAAGGAGTCGGAACTTTCGGCAAGTTAGGTCCTGTCAGTGCCATTGGAATAAGAAATATCAAAGATATACGTTAAGAAATTTCTCCTCTTATTTCTAGATCCGTATTTATATATTTCAATATATAAAGAATAATTATTAGTCTGTATACATCAACATCAAGATTTTAATACTCAACGATAACACGATTTTTTATCACAAAATATGTCAATCACATATGATTACATACGTTTCTTTCAGAAAACATTAAAGTGGTGTTTTCATGTCAACGATGTAATATTTGTATCACAGTAGTGATTGGAGATTGCAACTATGTTCGCGTTTGCGTCTTTTGGTCAATCGGAAAGGATTTACTGATCAGTAGTTTCATTTTGATTGGTCAAGAGACACAAACGTGAAAGCAAAATTCGTATATACTTGACCACTGACAAGATACTATTAGAGATCGTCTGCTCTGGGCATAGTTTTGAATTCAATGAGATTCCAGGGTATCAATCATGAAACTTTTTTCCTAGGAAAAGTGAAAAGTGAAATATTTCTCCATTAACTTCAATGATTAAAATTTTCACTTTTCACTTTCCATCTTAGGAAAGTTTCATGATTAAAGTTTCATGATTGATATCCTGGGACTTCATTGAATTCACAAAAATTTGCCTAGGACTTCCAAGGGTGCAGGGATAATTACAGAACGATGATATTATACAATTAACAAAAATTTATGCTTAAGAAGATTCTAAACCAGGGTTGTACCGTAGATTTTAAGGTTACGTCTACAAGAATTATTTAAATGAACATGAAATCTACGTGATGATTACATGATCTTTATCACGTTTTCATGGTAAATAATATAGACTATGTAGACTATATTGTAAAATAATGTAGATTCTATTGTAAAATGCATCAGTAACATTTTATATAATATAAAAGAATTAAAAATTAAATTATAAAACAGTTTTTACACCCACAGAGTAGAATTGTCCAAAATATGTCTAGGAATAGCCCAGACAGCACACGACATTAATGGAATATATGAACGTTCTAAGAATGTCTTGTACATTCTTAAAATGTTCTAATATCTTTTGAAGTCTTTGGTGCTGTATGAGAGATTATAAAAATATACGGCAATATTTGTAGAATATTTTTGTGATGTATTTTGAATATTTCAGCTATGTGGACACATACATATTCCCACTATATATGTAAATTATATAAATACCTATTAAGTAAAATTATGTAAGTATTTATTAAATCCATAAATTATGTGAACTTTAACTTTTTTAGAAAACGTTTGTAAATTATAATATCAAAATTCTAAGGATTAAATTAAGAAAAATAAAAAACTTTTATTATTATTTTTGTTGCTACAATATGCACAATATGCATAATATTTATTGTTTCTTATTATTAAAAATCCATTTTATTAAATTCATTATTTATTTTTCGCGAATGTTCGAGGTAAAAAATTGTTACAAAATTGATAAAAAAATCTAGTTTATAAATATTAAGAAATTAATACAAACGTTGAGTCATAAAATTTTATTTCTACAAATAGCAAGATGAAGAACTTACTTTAATACAGTTCAAATTTATTCAATACACATTATGAAAGCTCATTTGAACAACAGCTAATTAACGTTTTTTTGTAAGAGCTAAAAGGTTATTACAGAAAGAAATATATCGATTAGCTGTCGCGAGAATTTCTTCTGCATGGTGGTGTGTTGATACGACTTGTGCGCCACATTAGTTAATTATCTACATAACATTTACACAATTAGATGATATCTTATAATTTATGTTGTCTACACGTTTGAGGCTATCACTTTACTGACAGTCCTAAAACGTATAAACATCTCTGAGTATGTCAATTTTACAATCTTTTTGGATTCCAAGAGTATTCTCAGCTCTCTTCAAAACATCCGCAAACTTAAATACAATCTCATATAATTCAAGAAATCAATCATATTATTGTCGAGTGCAATGAAAAAGATAAAAATATCGAATCTGATTTGGATTCCAGCTCACCGTAATATTCAAGGAAACGATAATGCGGACGTGTTAGGCAAGAGGGATCGTCTCTGAAGATGATTTGCTGATGGTGGAGATACCTTATTCGGATATCACTAGTATTTTTAAAACCCAATGCAATAAGGATAATAAAGATTTCTTGAAATATAGAGCTAATGTTCTTTATAAAGGCACTGAATATCTTCAATTATATTATTTTTAATCAAGTAAATTATGATTTATCTCCAGTCTAAGCAGAAAAGCTAGTGTAGCTATCAATCACCTTCACTGTGACCATAATTCTTTGAAATTTAGCTTATTTAGATTTAAGATAAATGGTCTCATCAAAGATGGGAACTATATATATTATGGATTTGCAATAAATTTAGCAAAGAAAAATATGTTAGTTAAGTTTAATAAGTTGAATATAAAAGCTCTGTTTGACATTAAAGAAATTTTAAAAAGAATGAAAATGAGATTATAACTGATTTCTTTAATGAATGCAAGATCGGTATATAATAAGTTTTTTCTTTTAGCTAAAAAGATGTATTTTCTGATATTACATTCTATAGCTTCTGATACTATATCTTTAATTATTGTTTTTATATTATGTTTAAGAATAATTTAATTCTTGAGCATAAAAACATTATAAGATGTGTTATCCCGATTACATTGTTATTTCAATGCTATTTATTGGTAGCTGCAAGATTACGAATATATGTAAAATGGCTGTATTCTAACTGTGCCAATAAACTGTATTATCTATCTATCTTGTCTACATGTAAACGTAGAATATTATAATTTTCGCATAGATCGCACTCTGTCCTCAACAGAAATTACTGACAATTGCAGATTTCTCCAAATTGGCTTTATAGATTATCAAATCCATCGACGAGATACTATTAAAGACCCTCGGCACTTATGAAAAGTGTGCTTGTTAAAATTTAAATGATTTAAAATAATAAACTAGTAATACGATATTAATTTCATAATTTATTAGTTTTGTAAACATATTCATATATTAACAACAAATAACATAAAATAAAAAAACGGATAATTCAGAGCCTTAAACGCGGTAATTGGTGCGCAAATATTTTATATGGTGAAAAAACGCAACAACACCGGCAACTATTGGTAGGCGTGTAAACCAATTACAGAATAACGCTCCAGGCCCCATTGAGAGTCATGAAAATTTACTCAAAGTTAAGGATCTTGCCAAATGCCTTTTATGCAATGGCTGTGTTCAGCGGACTCGACAGTTGAGTGAGCTGATATTATATTCTTCCAGATCTAAAATGCTGATTGATATATTCTTCCAGATCTAAAAATGCTGATTGGATAATCTAAAAGAATACACCAATAACAGTGAGCACTCATTCAACTGTTGAGTCCGCTGAACGCAGCCAATAATATCCATATTCATATCATAATCCTTCCTTGAAGAATGGAAATGTTTTGTTTCTCATTTCATAAATCTTTCTTGATCAAACAACGAGCCTTTTTATTAGCTCTCTTTTCTCAAGGGAGGTTATGAATTTCCTCGAGGAGATGCAGCCTTCATAACCTCCAAATTTAGTTCGTCACACCGGTCTTTTTTGATAGCTTTTAATTTAAATCTGTCGCATCGATAATTATTTTCGATAGCTTTTTTTTCGGACATAAACTGCGCCAAAAGCATTCTCTCTTTCTTCATATAATAAGCATTATGGCGAATACGATTGGAAGCACTGATGCATATTAAAGTCGTTACACTGGTTTAATTTGAATATAAGAATAAAATGCAAATATTTCGAATTATGAAATACATATTTTATCTATATTAACAGTACAATAAAATGTATATTGAGTATAATTCATAATAATTTAATCGATTTCTATGTTTATTTATAAACATATATTTAAGTTATTTTGTGAATGTACGGCAATTTTAATATGCATCAATGCGCAGTGAGTGCGTTCAATCAAATTGTTATTCATTTTATTTTTGTCCATTATTGTTGCAAAATGCTTAACCATGACTTTATTTAATCAACAATGCCTTTATTCGTAATCAGAGTAATAAGAAACTCTAGCGGTCAGTCACGAAAAAAGTGGATTCGAAACACGGTGTAAGAAAACCCATGGAAAATCCGGCAGATGTGATTTTAGTACCATCATGTCTTGCGGGAAAAGTTGAAAGTATTGACTGTCACACGTATGCATCTACTACATACATACTACTACATATATTAATTAAAAATCTAATTATAAACTCGAAATATGCCACGATTTTATTTAATTTGTTTTTAAAAAATTAAAAGTTCACTTTATTTCACCTCTCACAGCTCTCACCTCAGGTTATAATTCTCTTAGGCTCAGTTGCACCAACGTTACTTTAATTTTAAGCGAAGCTTAAGTCATTGATTGCATTCAGGATCGGACTCAATAATTGAGTAAGCGCTAGCTTCAATTAGTGTATTCTTTTAGATCATCCAATTAGCATTTGAGAGCATCTGGAAGAATACAATAAGAGCATGCGATCACTCAACTGTTGAGTTCGCTGAACACAGCCATTAAAATCAATTAGGTAAAATTACATGCGGAAAATGACTGCGGATTAGAGAATGTGTCAAAGAAGCAATTATTCTACATTATTCCAAATAGCGCTAAATGGTTTTCGAATCTGTAAAAGAGGAAAAAAGTAATTGTTATACAAAAAATACGACTTTAATTTTGAAAAATTTTTTTTGTTAGGCCTTCGATCACAATTTCGCAAACTCAGGATTGTTTGTGCATGCTATACGCTTCCGGGAAAGGTATCATTTAGTACGATCTACAGAATTTCTGCATTAAGGGAATTAATAATCTAAGAGCTGAAAATGAACTTTTAATTTTTTTCCCCGATTTTCTCGTCAAATTTAATATGGCCGGTGTTCTTTTTTGTGCATAATTTTATTGTATAAAGAATTTGGTGATCTAAAGTCAATTCGGAGAAATTGGCAATTAGCAATTGTCGGTAATTTTTATTGGTTTAGAATCCCCTTAAGCTGGGATCAGATGTATTGAAAATTGAGATTAAAGATTAAAGATTGAAATTTCACCAATGAGGACAAAGAAATTTTGGCTGCTTTTATTCTGATTGGTCAAACTTTAATCTTTTAATCTTCAATCTCATTTTTCAATACATAGTCTAATTCCGGCCTTAAAGCGCAT